GTTTTTTAATTTGTTGCGCTTTGCACTTCCCAGCCACCGTACTTTATGAAAAGTCTTCAAATGTCAGACAGCATGTAAGACTCATACAAGCTTTGAATGAGCACTTTGTTCATTAACGCACGCTGCTTACTGACCACAGTGATAAACTTCACTGAAGCAAATACAAAAGCTTCAGACCAACAAACTTGTTACAGCAATATATGATGTCATCACCCCATTCAGAGTGAACTAGAGCTGCTGTTAGAGAGTGAAAGAGTGAAGTGTTCACTGTTGTCCCTAGGGGCCATGCCTAACATGCAGCTTCATTTATGAAAATAATATACTATACTTTGTAAACCTTGAAAACTTGAAAATTACCCAAAGTTCATAAGTAGCTTTTACTGTGCTCCCAGAACTCTTGCAAGATGACCTTTGCACGGTGGGTTTCAAGCACCTGTTCAATGACCCAATATCTAAGCATGAGCTTACCTCTTCTAATCTGCAAGGGCATTTCTTTCATTTCTGCTGGCATGGCTGTTATTGGCGATGTTTTAAGTCCACCACTGCAAATTCTGAAGGCTTTAATTTGAGCTATATAGGGTCTCCAAGTAAGCTTTTCATAAAACAGAACTCCTTGTTAGGAGTTGGTGGGGTTTCTCTGGTGTGGTGTCACGGGGTCTGCTTCTGTTTTCAGCTCAGGTAGGCAGGGTGGTGTGTCACGGGATGCTGACACACCGGCGGTGCATCAGACGTCATTTGATGAAGCGTTACTTAGGAGCAGTGCGACTGACGTCTGGTGTCGGAGTATTGCCACCTCCTCGAGTGGTAACGTGTTTAATTCTCCGCGGTGTGCATTACGACCAACCTATGTCTTGGATTTTGTTTGCTTACCTGTTGTCCTGTATCCTCAGCCGGATCCATCACCCGCTTACCTGTCAGTAGTGATGGGCAGATGAAGCTTCATGAATCACTGAAGCTTTTCATCCAATTGGTTCACCTCAGTGCAAAGCTTCTTGAAGCTTCATTTGCTCTAGTAGGACACCTACTGGACGTAAAAATATTAGTTGGCATGAATTTGAAGAGTGTGGCCTTTTGCACACAGCCTGTAAATGTCAACAACAAAAGGAGTGTGTAAAACATGTATATTGTAGTGATGGCAGTATACTTTGTATATTTATACTGGCAGAATGGAAAATGATTATTTGGAAATGCTTAAAATGGAAACGATCATTTACTGTGAGGTGAGGTGTGGTTGGGGTGTGGACAGTGGTTGTGCTTTTGTAATGTTGAGGTATGGACAGCTACACACTGAGGCTTTGAGTCTCAGTCCTGCCCACATTTTATTCTGTAAAAACTAAATTTTCACTGCTTTTATGACCTTTTTAGTGGGGAGAACATTTAAAACATTTAACAAATCTTTTAAATTCTTTGTCCTCCACAATGCTAAATGGCTGGGAGTCCTCAATCACCATGCTAACCAGGTTTTCATCTATTTGAGATTGTTCTCCTGAGGAAAGACAATAAAGACAAAGCACAAATATAAATATCACAATGTAACTTATTACAGTTGTATAATATTGTTATATCATTTAGTAACATTACTGCATGCTATATTATCATGGCATTTGATGGCTCACCTGGTCTTGCTCCACAATCGGTGTTCCCCTTATTCTCATGCAAAGCTCTGTAGTGCCTAAGCATGGATGAGGTGTTGTTGCTATATCCCAGCTCCCTGGCACATAGCAAACACTTCACCTTGTACAAAAGTAAAGCCGCTTAACATAAATTGTATTGCACCATCAGTATTATGAAAATACATCTTCTGTAGAAATTTATATACCTTGTTGGGAGGAATAAAATCACAATGTTCCCACACAGGGGAGGACATCCTCCTCTTCTTAGCTGGCTCCATTCTCTCCTGACTTTCTCTCATAAACCTCCAAACTGTCTCCAAACTCTCACTAACCACAACTCTCCATCAAACACCCACATCTTGAATGAAGTCTGAGGGGTTTATATCGCTGTCATAGCTCGCGGCAAAGTTCGAACCACTTCATGAACCAGTCACGTGGTACAGCCGGGCAGCGAGGCTTCGGACGTCATCATTTTCAGCTCCTCCCATAAATGAAGCAAGCCTCGATACGCGCATCGCGGAAACGCCCCCTCCATTACTCGACATAAGCTTTGAAGCCTCGATACAGAACGTCGCATCACTACCTGTCAGCTGTTTGTGAAGCCACATTTCCGGGATCACTACGGAGATCAATTACAGCGTTTCTCCCACATCCCGAGAATCCTCGCCCGAGCCCGTACAGCCAGTGTGACAAGTGAGCTCTCCAACTCTTCCCATGTTTATTGCTGTTTCTTACCGGTGGTTTGGCATCTCCCCCTAAAGTTTCGTTTTTCTTTTTCTCATAGATCCACCCTGCGTGCGCGGGTAACCCCTTTCCCTCCGAATGCGTGTCAGCCTCCTCCCCTGGTTTCCCTCTGTTTATTCATCAGTATTATCTCATCCCGTGTAAATAAGCTTGACACAGCAAATAAAGAGCACTTCCTGCATTTTCTGCGCTTCTGTGTATTCTGCCATAAAGTCCGTTCACTCAGCATAACACTCCTAGAAATCCAACTTGCTTAAGCATTTGGCCAAACAGCTGCAAAGACAAAGTTTATACCATTTGCAAATGTATTACTTTAGTCTTTGGCACTGAAAACTTAAACTCCCATGCATTGACTTTCTCCCATGCCCATTGTTCTACTGTACTTATTGCAGTCTGCATTTTCCTTTGTATATAGCTTAGATTCCGGTCTATGAGCCGCAGTTCTCCATCGTCTGCATAGATGTCATTAAATATTACTTTTAAAAAACATGATTTACACATGGATACCCTGTGCTGTCCTGTTTTGTACTTGTATATAATTTAGAATATTTTACCTACCCTGAATTCTATTGTTCTTCCAAACAAAAAAATCTACTACCCAGAGTTAACAATGGGAAAGCCCTCAATTTTACAGATTTTAAGTTGCAGTGCATTTGACCTCTCCTGGCCATCATTTATTACAGTTGAAGGACCTCCCCCCCAAAAAATAAAAAAATGTAGCTGCAGAGTCAGATGTTTCCTTTAATCTATGAAGCTGTAGAGATTAAAGCAGCTCTTCAGTTTCTTTTTGATGATTCAGTTTAAATATCTCAAGATATTTTTCCTTTTAATTCTTTACTTGTACAAGAGCTTAATTGGGAGACAGTAAGGGCACTAACCACTTCTAATTATTACCGGCACATGATCATGTATATATAAAAAAAGCACCTCATTGATTGACAAGTGATTTTGATGAAAGGAAGGAAAGAAAGACATTGAGATTGTTAAAGATGGCAAGTTTGACTGTGGTGAACACTGTGCTTCAGCAAATACTATTTTCTCCCTCTGTTAACATATGTAAGTACAGTTTCCGTTGCTTAATAATCCAGTGCAACACACAATTAACAAATAAAAAAAAACAAAAAAACAACAACTTTAAAAAAGGAACTTTTCAGTGTGTTTTGGGGCTGAGTCTGCTTTATTTATTTATTTATTTTTTGCAGCCTTAAAAAACGCCTGAAGGTTTGGATGTGTTTGGTAAATTTTTACACGTTTTTAAACCAATATGTACTTAATTAAACTTTGGACCTCAGTATTTCAGAAAAGAAAAATGAATAATGGTGTCCACAATCTACAAGAATAATGATAATAATGATAATAATAGTAATGAGACACGATATTTTCTTGTATAGACCGTTCACTTCTAATAAATAAAACGGTAAGAATAAAACATCAGTTTAGTAATTCAAGGCAGAGGCCAAATGCAAAGAATGGAAATTATGCCACTTGGTTTTCATCTCGGATTCTTTCATTTATTATTTACGGAAAACAGCTAAATTGTCGGGCAGCTACAACATCAGATAACTCAGGAAGTAGAAACACGGAAATATGTGCTGTAACTGCGTCACTCTACCAGTCGCCATCTTCGTGTTTCGTCTGCAGGTGAGATTAAAAACTAAACTTTCAATACCGTGTCGAGCTTATGAAGCCAGAGTTTGGTTCAAATAACCCACATCCCGTTGGGTGATGAAGGTTTTGATGCTTTCAACCCATCTTTTATGCAGGAGAGGCTCCGGGATTTCCGGTTTGTTTTGTTGTTTCTTGGAAATTGTTTTTGGACCGCGTTGTTTCGGATAGGCTTTTTAATGAGTGAATTAACATTTTTAATACAACTACTTCTAATTAGCCTTTTAGAAACGTACGAAATCAAATACCTCATCATTATTATTATCCTTATTAGTGGATTAAGAATACGATTGCGGGGTATCCATCCACGAACGCACCGGAATCGAAAGTGTAACGAAATATGATCTTACTGGAAGGTTTAATGTTATATAGACATGAGATATTGAATTAAAGAAATGAGAGTGATTGGTAGCTTTTGCTGAAATGTTTGAAGTTGTTGAAGTTGAAGCAGTTGTGCTGGAATTGTATCGAGGCATCGAAATAAACAGTGAAACTTGCTAACCTTGCTTTGTCACAGCTCGATAAAGAAACAATGACGCAGGCAAGCGCTGCAGAACGCTCAACAAGGCTACTTATCAGTAGCGTGTCTAGAAACTTTTTGTTTGGGGGACCAGGTAGGGGCACAGATTTGGAGAAGGGTGGCAGATGTAATTGGCAGATAATGTTAAAAAAAATCTGCCAACCGTTAACCATAATTTATTAACCCTATAAACCTAATAATCGAATGCACTTTTAACTCTTATTAGAATGAGATTTTAACCACTACAGTGCAAGGTTTTAGATACTGCATTGATAAAGTACAAGACATACAATCAGTGTTTTGTCAGTGTTTATTCAGCATTCAAGGACAGCAATATTTGTATAGTATTTTTACTGACATATAGTGCACATATGTTTTGGGAAAAAACACTTTTGAATATTAAAATATGAACATTTTTAACATACAATTTGCAAATTAGCCAGTGCCAATGCAAAACTTTATCTGCCTTTAAAAAAAAGAAGAAGATAATCTTCTTACAAACTGGTGTTTGATTTTGAAACAGGAAAAAAGTGGGGAAACAAATGAAAAGACTAACATTTGAATGAAACCTGTGCCCTCTTGATAATGTTTTCAGTATAAATTGTGCAAAAATAAACCTCTTTAACTTTTAATAAGAGTCTGTTACATGTTAGGAAGACAAGAAGTACAAAAACATTTGTAAACAGCAGCACTTGCAGTTGCAAAATATTTATGTTTTGAATGTGAACATTCATACCTACTCTATGCTTCATTAAATATTATCAGTGACTTACAATAGGTGGATCCGCCTGTTACGGTGGCGGGTGGCAAAACGTGTTACAAAGTATATAAATATATATAAACAGTTTTTTAAAATTTT